CCCAGCTTTAATACTATGGTCACGTTTCCCAGATGCTGGCAAGAAGAAGAGCCGATATGATACGGTTACAGTACTGGAGAGGTTTCAGGGCGCAGGCACCAGTAGGTGATTTCGGAGGTGAACGGCTGTACCCTGGGGCTGGCCGCCCAGGCTGGAGCTTGCTCTCTTTGGGGCTGTGCTGGGGGAAGGGACGGGTAGCTCTGGGGCTGTGTTTGCAGCGGGTGGCTGAGCTCGGTGTTGCTGTTGCTGGGGCTGCTCGGCTCTGAGCCCTCTTGCCTGAGAGGAAAGGGCATTTGCAGAACGGGAAGGTGGTGGACCTGCTCTCTGTCTGCCAGAGCGGTGTTTGAGCGGGGAGCTCCATGCCTGGCTAGTCTCAGGGCTGGGGATTCCTGTGAAGACTGTTATCTGATGAGACACTTGAGGACAACCTGCAGGCCTGCAAAACCAGACTGAGCCCTGTGTGTTTGTTGGCTGCTCAAAAGTGGGTGGAAAAGGATCTTCTGGCTTTTCCTCCTGGAGGCTCAGCATCCTCCAGGCTCTGCCATGATGTGGTGCTCCCATGGCATTGCTCCTCCATCTTTTCCCTCCTTAGCAGCAGCATCTGAGTCTGATGGGCCTGAGGTGAGCTGGAGCCGCTGGTGGCTCTGCTTCATGAAACAGAATGTCCACTTTGCTGTCTAGATGCCTCTCCTGATCCGTGGGTGTCTGTAGGACAATGAAAACCCATTTCCTAAGACCCAGCCCTTGGTGTCACAAGGAAGGATGGGTACATCTATCCTTCATCTTCATCCACAGAGCTTCCCTGGCCCGAAAACAAGCCACGCAGCAACAAGCCACGCTTGTCTGCAGAGATTGCTGTGTCCCACGAACGGCAGCTCCATGCACATCATCTGCTCAAGCACCCATGAGATCTTGCCACCTTTTGGTCACCCCAGCTTTCAATAGGACTCCTGCTGTTACTGCCAGTGTTTGTCTTTTGGGCACCACCAGTGTGCCCAGCAGTCCAAAAACCACAGGAAGAGAAGTGGTCCCCCCAGCACAGCTTAGCACGGGAGCAAACTAAACTTTCTCATCAGACCTAGCTCTGTGGGTCACCAGCCAGCAGTTGCCCGTGTTTTGTGCACAGGATATTCCCAGGGCTTGCTGTTGCGCTGGTGGAAGGTTTGCTCTGCGATTTAAAAGCTATTGTAGTCTGGGGCCCGTTTCCGAGGTACTTCCCCTCTGGGATCTCTGCTGGGTTTGGCGACGGACCAACGCTCTGAACGTTCGAGGCCGGGGGCCGGGCAGAGCTGAGCTGGGCTGCGAGCCCTGTCCCTGCACCACTTTGCCATGAACCCTGTAGAGAAGGGGAAAGGAGCAGAAGGGCATCCCCCTGATCTGTGGGGGGAACATCCAGCTGAGGACCTGACCTCCCCAGGGAGCAGGTCAGCTGGGGAGCCGGCAGTGAGATGAGAAGAGCTGTGGGGTTAAGGCTGGTCACTGAGTTCAAGGCATTGGAGCTGTTGGGCTTGTTGTCCTGAAAATCAGGGTTCTTTTACCCAGTGTGGCTCGTTGTTATATCTCAGTTTTGTGGTGTTGTGTAGAGCCACACTTGTGTACCAGGTGCTGTTGTGCTGGGCCCTGCATGGGGGGCATGTCTGCAGCCTGGGGGATGGTGTGTAGGGTTGGGGGGCTCTGCCTGTGACGTGCTGCTGTTCTCCGGGATGCCCTCAGCTTATCGATGGGCTGCAGAGCCAACAGTCCTCTCTGGTTGGTGTCTGCTGGGGTCACCGGGATCTCTGCTTGGCCAGACCCCCTTGCCTGTCATCTCCCCATGCCCCTGGGTGCTGTGGGGCAGGGGCTCAGCCTGGGGGAGCATCTGCAGGGGTGAACTTTTCCCAGGGAGCAAAACGGACCCTTTCGTGATGTAGCAGGGCCCGTTCAGGGCTTGTGTTGGTGAGTCTGGGTCCTCCTCTCCAATACATGCCCTGTGTCTTCCTCCTGCTCTCCCCCTGGCGTGGGGTCTGGTGCTGGCGTGGGGTCCAGCGCTACCCTGGAGCCATGGGCTCACTGCAGGCTCCCGCGCCCGCCCGCACGCAACACCTGCAATCACCTGTTTTTCAAACGGCTGGAAGGCAGTCAGAAAGCAACTGGCAGCCACTTCAGTCGCTCACTTTATCTGGTCGCAGACGCCCCCTTCACGCCATCTGCATCCTCCTTTCCCAGCACCGTGCGATTAAACCCTGTTTTCTCTTTGTAAATATTGGCAGGCGAAGCGGCAGCCTCCCTGAACGAAAACAATAGCGGGGAGGCCGGTTCCCAGAGCGAGCCCCGAGCGGGGCAGCGTGCGCAGGGCACGGCCAGCCCCGGCGTTTACCGAGCTCCCAGCTCCCGCCGCCCCGGCGCGCGGGCGCACTGCGCGGGGCGGTGGGCAGCGTGCCCGGGGCGCGGCCAGCCCCGGCGTTTACCGAGCTCCCAGCTCCGGCTGCCCCGGCGAGCGGGAGCACTGGGCTGGGCAGCTCGGTGCTCTGGCAGGGGCTGGGCGCCAGGGACCCATGCCCCAGCTAGGGCTTCATCCCATATAACTGTCAGTCCTTCACACATCTGTTCTCCATTTGGCTGGATCCCACAGGACTTGGCAAGCAGGATCCTGTGCTTTAGAGGCGGCCGGGGGTGCTCAGCCCCTGTGGGCTGCGCTGGCTCTTTCCCCAGCACAGTTGTATGTTGTTTCGGGGGAGCTGGTTGATGGAAGAGGGAGAAACAGACATCTTCCCCTGGGAAACGTGTGTTGGAGAGGTTGAATATCACTGTGAGGGAATAAAGTGCTGAGATTTCTGCTGCTGTAGTGCAGAAATGGTAGCAAAAAATGTACAGATTGGAGAAATGCAATTTTGGCTGCTCATGATCCCCCCGAGCCTTGCCGGCAATACCCAGGACACACACCGAGGTGACTGACCTTCTGCTCTGCCTTTTGGACCAGAGGACAGTCTTCTCTCCTGGCTTTAATATTCCCAGGCTGCTGGGGCCGGGGAGTCTCGCTGGCTCGCTGATGCTGAGCGGGAGGGAGAGGGGCACTTTGCTCTCCACAGCCAGCACGGGCTGAGCATCGCTTTCTGCTAAATTCAATCAAAGAGATGGGGACTGTAATCGAATCAGCAAGGGGCTGCAGAGCAGGGTAGGTGAGCTGTGCGTCTGTCACCAGCAAGGAGATAGGAGATGTCCTTGGAACGGCTTTCAGCCTCACACCGGGGGAAATGCAGCAGCTCGGTGGGGACAGGAGTGTGCAGTAATTACAGCGTCAGTGTGGGCGCTGGACTCCTTGCAGCTGCGCTGACGTCTTCTGGGCTCTGCTGAGTCCTCGCTGTCGTTCACTCCTGGCACCAAGTGTGGGGAAGTGCCAGCCCCGATTTCCAGCCTGGCAGACTGGTACCTGGCTGTACTGTCCTCAAAGCAGGAACGATCAGGTACTTTCCTAGGGACCAGTGGTTATCACAGTGGTACAGCCTGGTGATCTGCTGGCGTGGGACTGGGAGAGGATGAGACCCCTGGGGTGGGCAAGGGCACTGTGACGCTCCAGGGGATGCTCAGAGCATCACTGCAGCTCGGCATCTGGGGGGGAAAGGGGGGCCCTGCCGCCTTCTGTCGCTGAACCACAAACCTCTACTCCATTTTCATAGCGCTCGATAAGCCTGAGCGTGCATTTCCAATGTTTAAGCCTGTTTCTGCTGTAGGAATAGAGGTGCTGATGTCCAGACATAAGATCAAATCTCTTTCCTGGAAGTCTCCTTGGACTGAACTAGAGATCTCTCTTTCTAGAGGTGACGTGGGAGGTTGCTTTATTGACTGCTTTAATAGGGGTTTTGGATGAAATGTGAATGAATTGGCATCCGATGAAAACAGTGTTTTAAATGGCGTGACTAAAAAGCGTTTCCCCTTTTGGTTGTGTTGTGTCTCTGGAGTCACAAAGCTGCAAGTTCCTTAGCTCTCGCTGACCTTTCTGGGAAAAACCGGGCTGTCGGAGACCTGCCCTTCTGGAAGGAAATCCTAGGGGGAAATTAAAAGCCTTTTTCATGCCCTTTAGTGGGAGACTCTTTTTTTCTTTGCAGTTCTGCCCTAAAATACTGCTTTTTTTTTTTTTTTTTTTTCTATGTGGCCACAGAAGGAGATGATCCAGCCATGGGTATTACTGGACCCTTTTTAAAGTGAAACCTGCAAAATTCCAGTGGGCAGCAAATGTTACTAGTGCTTAATTTTTAGCACAAGAGATGAGTTTAAGGGCTGGGAGACACTTGCCAAGAGAACTTGGTCAGGAGGTTTCTTAAATGAGTGGGATATAGCCCAGAACAAACCTGTTCGAGAGGATCAGGTCCGTGCCAACAAGGGTGTGTGCAGGGAAGGGGCTAGGGCATGGCGGGAGGTGGCCTCAGCTGGGATGAATTCCCTTCCTCGCTGCGCGTTGCTCGCAGACAGCGCGCGCCTGGAGCTGGAGCATCGTCCTCAAACCAGCCCCTGATGGGTGCTCTCTGCAAGGAGCAGGACAGGCGAGGCCGCTCTGCAGCTCCTCCGAGCTCTGCCTTCCTCCCAGCCCCGCTCAGCCCAAAGGCGTTTGGTTTCATCAACGTGTGCTAACGGCGCCTCGTTAGTGTTTGCATACAGCAAAGTGCAATTTCCATCCTCTAAATTGGCTTCATAGACGCGTTTCCACTGTGGTGGCACAGGGTGCAGAGTTGCTGGTGCTCTGCCCGTGCCTTACCGCTCCGCTCCTGCCTATTAAAGCAAAAGTCTGGTGCTCTGCACCGCAGCAGCCTTTCGCCCTCCGTCTGCGGGAGGTGCCACCGGGAAGCTGGTTTCCCATCCGTTTTGCTTTGTTGTGCCCAGGGCGCAGGACACTGGTGCGAGCTCTCCCATTACACTTGCGTTCGTCTGATACGCTGTGTTGGAAGCCAGTAGTTTGCAAACGAGCCAGGGCCTGCGACACACGGCTAATGACCTTCTCTCTGCCTGTGTTTCCTTTACGTCAGAAGTCGGAGTGCTTATTAAGTTTGGAGGCTTACTCCGAGGAGCAGAAGAAGAGGATCTGCTGGTGTCTGGCCGAGAACATCACCAAGCAGCAACATCCGGCGTCGGCTCCTACGGAGAACAAGGTAAGCGACCCAAGCGGGAGCTCAAAAACCCCGCTCAGAGCATCGTGGGGCTCTGCCTGCGGCGGGGGGGCTGCGCTCTGGCAATGCTCCTGCCAGGCGAGCTGCTCCGGAGGCTGTTTTTTTGCCAGGTGAGGAGAGAGTTTGTATTCAGGCACTGCTGTGCCTACAGCTTCCTGCCCTGCTCGGGGAAGCAGTTATTGCGTTTGCGTCCGCTGACCGGAGTCGAGGCAGGCTCCAGCGAGCAGCCTGCTTCTGACACCTCCCAGCATCTGTATTTGGACAGCTGAGGCCACGCGACCCGGGGTACAGCCTTCCCCAGGAGCTCGGCTCTCGGGCCGGACTGAATGCAGAGGGAGCGGTTCGGGCCGTGATCTCTGGGTCCTGATTAAAAGGCGGAGGTCATGGGAGCAGTAGTGCGGAGCTTTGCCCCTTCTGTGCACTCAGACAGGCTCGAGCGTTTGATCTGGACCCCGCAGATGGCTTCAAAGCGCAGAAAGGTCATTTGATGAGTGCTGTTTTTCATACCTAGCAAGCCAGCACCAGCACTTTTCCCACACTGACGAGCTTCAGCCTGGCCCGAGAGCACTGTTTAAGCAGCACTGGCAGGAGAAAAGTGTATGTGGAGCAGGTTTGAAGCACTGTTGGGCATGCCTGCGCTGCATGGATGTGGTTAACACCTCCTGTCTGCCTGGCTTCGGGTCTGGGGCTGCCACCACGGAGCTGTTTGGGACAGTGGAAGTCCATGCTGGGGTCGTCTTGTCCCCCGGGAGCTGGGTTCAGACTGTTGGTGGGTGACCCACTGCTCTGGGACAGAGAGAAACACCCTGTGCTGAGCATGTAAAGAGCTTTAAGTGAGGCACATGGGGATCTCAGAGGTGAAATGACCCAGATCCCTCCACTCGGCTGGTGCGTGGTGGTGGAGCAGCTCCTGCCCCACGTCCATGTGTGGGTGCAGCCTCGGTGCGTGGTCTGCTCTGGCTCAAAGGCAGCGACTCGCTCTCGCTGTGCGCGTGGGCAAAAGCGGGAGCAGGCGGCTGCGCTGCTGCCCGGATCCGGAGGCAGAGCGACGCGGCTTCTGCTCTGCAGCATCCCAAACTGGGTCAGCGCAAACATCTCCGCAGGAGACAGAGCCTCCGGATTCCTTTTCCTGCACGTTTCAGATGTACTAAAATAGCAACAACGTACAAAGCCTGAGAACCTAGTTACCAGCCAAACCTTTAGAAACACAAACAGCCTGGGGCAGCTGATTCAGCGAGGTGACAAGACTCTGGCCATGTCTCTTGTGTTCCTGCGATGCGTCTTGCTGGCACGACACAGTGTCCGGGCAGGGGGTCCCAGGCACGGGGGGATGCATGCGATGGGGCTGCTGCCGGGGCCTAGGCAGGGATCTGCTCTCGGCTGGGTGCGATCCAGCCACGGGCTGGGGGATTCTGCGGGGTGAAGCTGTGCAGGGACGTGTTCAAATCTGAGCATCTCGAATAGATCCTAAAAGGGCACATCTTGGCGGCTTTCCGTCGCGACACGTGCTCTGGGACCATTTGGGTTTTCAGGTGATGCTGCTGTCTGCCCTCACCCTCCTGGAGTCTCTGTTCATGGCAGGGTGTGGGATTTGGCTCTCTGCTAGACCTACAAGCCCCGTGGCTCAGAGCAAAGCTCTGGAGAGGGTCTGCTCCCTGTGCTGCTGAAGGTACCTGGCTACTGGACAGGTGAAAACGTACTCTAGAAGACAACACAAGCCTTTCTAAGGCTTTTCTGTGCCTCAGTAGCCAAGAGGGAGCTCCTTGTGTGCGGTGGAGAGTCAGTGTGGGCTCTCTAAGATAGTGACAGGGGTTTTTTTGCCTAGGCTTGCCAATGTTGGGAGAAAGCCCACTGGTGGGATATGGGGCTGGGAGAGAGAAAAGGAGCAAAAGAGCAACCGCCAGGCACTGAAGTGAGTTCATGGCATCATTTCCCATCCTAGCAAGGTATAAAATGGCCAGAATGCAATTTTAAAGCAAACTTGACCCTGAAGTGCAAGAAGAAAGAGCGTGGGGAAGGAGGAAGCAGCCCTGTGCGAGGCTGCAGCTCCTGAGCAGGCGGGCTCGGATGCTGGGTGTGCGTGCGGGCTCGGATGCTGGGTGGGTGTGCGGGCTGGAGCAGGGCAGCAGTTGCGTGCGGGGCTGGGCTGCAGGCAGGAGCCCGACAGCGGCCGACAGCGGCCAGGGCTGCTGTGACCAGCCTGCACCGCAGCTGGTTTGTCGGGCAGACGTCCCCGGGAATGCCGGTGCAGCGGGAGGCAGGAGCTGGGAAAATCAGTCGGTTCTTGCAAGGGAGAAGTGATCTGTTAGCTTTGCTTATTGCTTACAAGTCATTTGATATTAGGGCTATTTAAGGAAACAGAGCAGTGTCTGTGCTCTGTGCACAGACAAATTAAGCTGGAAATACCAGCCTCTGCATGGCTGATTTCTGCTCCAAACAGGAATCTGATTTGCAAAGCCTTCAAAACTGCTCCAGTTTGGCAAGGGGCAGCTCATCCCGCGGCAGCTGGAGCCCAGCCGAGGGTACGTGGGCTTTGCCGTGCGACGGGAGGGCTGGCGCAGCTGGGTGCCAGGCAGAGACGTGCCATGTGCCAGCTGTGTGCTGGAGCTGGAGAACGGGACGCTGTCTGGGCAGAGAGCGGCTGGGGCCCCGCCCTGCCCCCCAGCCTCTGCGGCTGCTGTGCCAGTGTACGAGCTGGGAAAGGCTCTCCCTTCAACATGTCGATGCTGCTGTTAGTGCCATCCCTGCGTCCTGCCCAGAACAGAGGGCTTGCGACGGGGCAGAGGATCCCCAGCGGGATGGTCACATCTGGAAAGGAGAGGCTGGACTTGTTGGAGCTGTGGGAAATCAGACAAACTTCTCTGAGGGATGAACCCGTTCTGCTGGCTGCAGCAGGTCGCAGGAGTGGTGCTGTGGTTGTTTTCTCCACCTGCAAGGCCTTCCCCACTCTCATTTTCAGGTCTGGGTTGGCCCTGGGAGGCTGCTCCCTGCTCCCTGTCCCTTGGCTGTGCCGAGGGTCTGTAAAACACATCACCAGGGTGACCCAGCTCAGCAGCAGACGTCCCCGAACGGGGAGGAGAGGAGCCTGGAGGTGGGCTGGGGCTGGTGAGGAGCAGCAGAGGCAGG